TTTTTTTTTCCCTTTCAAATATAACAGGAATTATGGAGGCCAATCCTTCTCGCCTTTGCAGTCAATGTGATGCAGCTGCACAGCAAAAACAAACTCTACATAAGCAGGTCCAACAGGGGTTAAATATTAAACCCCAGGATGCAGGAAAATAAAAAGTCAGTTCAACTTGTATTGTTCAAAATGTATTGCTGGGAAGTTTGCTTTTATTGAGCATTTCCAAAGACAGTAACTTCCTGTTTCATGGAACTCATTTATATTAGAAGTTTGCTATACCACAGAGGCTGTAAATTTCTTTCAATATCATAACTTTTCAAAAGCACACTGTTGCTTGTGCTTCAGTATTGAAGATACCAGCCAGAATGAGGATGCCACCTACCTCTCCTTTCCCATCCTCCCTGGTAGTTGACTTGGCAGCAGAATAACCTTCAACAGGAACAATATTATCTCTTCAAATGTAGCATGGAGTATCGGATGGCTAGTTCTTCAGAGCCCTTATGACCCAGAGACATAGGCAATGTCATTATTAGTGATGCAGTATAGTTCTGAAAAGCTCTTGATGATGCAGACTCTCCAGGTTAACTCTACTGTGCATAATGACCAAAGGAGAAAAACATGAAAGAGGAGACAGAAGACAGAGAGAAAATACATAAATAAATATATTTCAATAACTGTTTTCTTCTATTCAATTTCTGAAGCAGATACAAGATTGCACTGTCTCCCTCTGCTTGTAAAACTGAAAAAAAAATCAGATAATAAAATTATTTAAGGAGATAATACAATGAGGAACCATTTTTTTTTCTTAGACAATAAAGTAGAAGTTATTGCCAAAAGGTTGTAATATTTCTTTTTCACTCCTCCCCTCATGATTTTATTCTTTTCCAACCTTTCATCAAAGGAAAACTATATTTGATTATATATTTTTTCTTCCAAATGTAGAGAATGTGTTTTGGAAACTCAAGTCCAAGACATTATGAGAGATAACAGGACAGAAAATGATCCACAGTTTTGCATTTTCCCTGTGTATATTCTCTGACTTATCCTTTTCCTTTTAGTGCTCTTCATTTCTAAAATTGCTTGTGATTGTTCTATTATGGTTGCTTACAGTATTTACCTTATGTAGTTTGGTGTCATTTGCCTGCTTTGTCTGATTTTCACAATAGAAGTACATGTGCCACCATTAGAGAGGTAATCTTGTGTCTGTTATACAGAGGTCTCATAAAAGACACATTTCAAAGATCTTCTATTTCAAAGGTACATGGAAGTATAAAGTAATTTCACATTGTTCTGCTACTGGCAGATATCACACAAGTCCATCAGGCTCGCAGGCTCTCTGAGGCTTTCATTCAGTTCAGGCTGCCTCTAATTTATATGACAGGTGATTTTTTGGCCTCCTGCAGCTCCTCTTGAGATCTGTGAAGAACTGAGTTATTAATCAGTGTTTCAGAATCAGGTCCTCTTGGAATCTGGTTGGATGTAAGGGCACCTGCAAGGATTTCCATCAGTGCAACTATGCCAAAACATACCATAAATATATACATCACCTTCAGGTAGACCAATTTTTTCAAGCATGCTTTGTGTCTGGCCCTTGGAAGTTTTGTACTGTCATCTCTGCATTTTTTTTAGTTATATTGGTGCAAATTCCCCGTTCCCAAAAACCTTGAGTAGACAGTTCTGTAGACAAAATTTCAGGACAAACAAGTAAAGTTTATTGTTATGTTGCCATGTTTTTAGTTAATCGCTGTGTTAGTGAGGATGATTAAGATAAGATGCTAAGGTCACACATTCTTGTTCACAAATCCATGCTTCTCTGATTATGAAAGAAAAAATAGCTGGAAGAAGACAATATAAATTATAAATACAAATAACCCCCTCACTTTTCCTATTCAGCGGTGCATAATCAATACAAATTCTTTTCAAACCTGAGTATAGTATGAAGCAAGAGCTATCTTTCTTGTCATGCCTCTTGACTTCAATATCATTATGTACCATAATTGGGTCTGTTAAAACCTATTAGATAGGATGAGAGAGGAGGTGTGAAATGCAGAACCAAAGCTGCTTCCCTCAAAAAAGCATTTTTGAGTCAAAATATTTCACATAAAAAACACACACACACAAACAAAGAGATGTATTCTAAGTGGGATGAAAACATGAGATACAATCACAGCCAGAAAATGTCTGGCCAAAGTCATTGCCAAGTTAAGCAGAGCAAAGTTAAAGCTGGCATCTCCTTCCCCTTCACTTCAAAGCTTCCATAAATAGAGTTGTGAACTCAACAAGAAAAGACTACTTTATCCTCATGTCTTATTTAATTTGACCTTTTAAATGCCTTATTTCCAGGGAGGCTGTTTTAAAGATTTCACATTTTGAATGGCTGAATGCCATATAGTGAAAATTTTCTTTTTCTATTACGTGTTTCTTTTTCTTTCCTTCCTCACCTGTCTTCATTCTTTCCCTTTAGCTTTAGAAAGTAAAAATTAAGTAGTCACTAAGACCTTAATTTGTCAGTCCACCTTCAGCATCAGCAAAGCTTTTCAGCACATATATGGAGTTAAGAAAATAACTGAGGAAATACAGATGCAGGCTGGAGGCTTAGTGAGTGCCTGAGTGTTTTTTAGGAAAGGAAACCTAAAGTTTCACTCCTGCCAAGGAACTGCCATGCATGCAGTAGTGCCTTTTTATTTTTTTTTAATAAGGTCCAAGTAGTGAGCTGCTTCCTTTGGAAAAGCAGGCATGAATGCAGTTCAATTGCTCCGATAGAAAAAAAAGTATTTTGACATTTCATACAAGGACAACCTGCCCATTTTTCAGTGGGATGTAAGGCAGGTTTTACTATGGTTGGTTTAACATAATTCTCTGCAGGCTTTTGCGCTTCTGCAAGCCACAGCTACATCCTGGGCTGTGGCACTGTCACGCTTTTCCAGCATAAGCTCCTCCAGGCCCAATGTGCGACTGCTTGCACCTTGTAGCATGATTTAATGTCAGGGTGCAGAGGAAGCAGAACATGGCCACAACCCTGCAGATCATGGAAGGTCCATTCTCTGTCCTCTAAGGACCATGCGGATCTTCCTTCGTTTTGAGACTCACCCCGTTACAACAGCTGGCATGCTCCAATCTAACAATACCAAAACATGGGTGAGCTTCAGGAGCTGTGATGGAATATAAACCATCATCCAGGCAGTGTTTTGTCTGAAAGGGATCAGGTGCATAGCCCCAGGAAGGGGCTGCTTCACAGGTTGATTAAACTCCTCAAGCGGGGCACTGAAGGAGTGAAGGATGAGTCAGAGATGTAATGCATTTAAAAAAAAAATGCATCAAAAATAACAGAAATGCTGCAAGATCCTTATTGAGAAAGCAGCGTGTTTTCCTTCTCATTCAGGCCACCAGTGAGATGAATCTCCATTCTCAGCCATATGTCCCCTGCAGCAAAGAGTACTGCCTTGCAGCACAGGTGTTGCACAAGTGTAGTTGAGAGCAATGTGAGATTCATTGGCTTGCCAACCACTGAGTGCTCCCTCCGTACCTCCCGGCTGTCATTCCATTCCCTTTGCCCATCGTGACAGTGTTTCATGGCAGTCGCTCTCTCCAATTGCTTTTCTTTGACACAGATCATCCTTTACATCAGCAATTACTCACATCATGAGGCTCTGGCTTTCCTAGTCTGATTTATATTTATCTAGAGGTTCTGTGGTATTAGTTATTGCTGGTGAAGGAGCTAAGAGTATCTGCAATTGAACCTGACAGAAAAATTCTCACATATTAAACTGGGATGTGAGTCCAGCACAAATTATAGTCTCAAATGTGAGGAAAGTCTCTGTGATCATTTCTTAGGCTGGATTCATCTTGTTAGCAACAAAAGAGCCTATGTTGTGAGTAGAGTTGGTCAATTTATTCATTGAAAATAAATTATTCAATGCACTTGCCCATTTTTCTATTTGTGAATCATTGGTGAATCATTTTTGATTGCAAATAATGTGTTCATAAGTATTTGCCCACATGGATTATGGAACAAATTTCAGCCTAAGGGATCTTTGCAAGCTCTTCACTTTTTACAAGTAATCATGTACAGTGAATGCAATAGCTCATTTCGGTCACATGGCATCATTTTTTCTTTCTCTTTGGATGATGTAATCTAATAGGAGGATAATGACTAATGAGAATAAAACTTTGGTGAGAAAATAATCATCCAGGAAATGTTGAAAATCCTTACTACAACCAAAATATACATACATATAGATATTTGAGGAAAACTATTATACCTTACCCCTCAAAAGAGCCAGGCAAAAGTATCATTTTCCTTCATAAAATTTCTATCATTAGATTTTTTTTTATTTTTGTCTACTCTGTTAACCCTAGACATAATGTCAACTACTGTGATAACAACTGTGCATTCATTTTCTTCTTTACTGACAGGTACCAGCAGTGCAGAAGTAAAGGAAAATCGAAACATTGGCAACCTGGAGGATCATCCAATATCTTCTAGTGAGAAAGCAAGAGGAGGAACATCAAGCAGTAAGAGAAAAAGACCCTTAGAGGAAGGCAACAGTGGCCATTTCTGTAAACTCCAGCTCATCTGGAAGAAAGTCTCATGGTCAGTGACACCAAAGAATGCTCTGGTTCAGCTACATGAACTTAAACCAGGTTTACAATACAAAATGGTTTCCCAGACAGGTCCAGTGCACGCTCCAGTCTTTGCTGTTGCAGTAGAAGTAAATGGACTTACATTTGAAGGAACAGGACCCACAAAAAAGAAAGCCAAAATGCGTGCAGCTGAGCTAGCTCTGAAGTCTTTTGTTCAGTTCCCAAATGCATGCCAAGCTCACTTTGCCATGGGCAACTGTATTAATCCATCCACAGACTTCACTTCTGATCAGGCAGATTTTCCAGACACTCTGTTCAAGGAGTTTGAACCATCTACACACAGCGAGGACTTCTCAGTCTACAAGCCAGTTAATAATGAGTTGCTTTCCACTGCTTATCGACACGGGAGGCTACTCTGCCACACTTTGGACTTAATGGGCCACAGTAAGCAAAACAAGCACAAGATGGTATCCAAAGCAGAAAGCGAGAAGAACCCAGTGGTGCTGCTAAATGAGCTGCGGTCAGGGTTGCGATATGTCTGCCTGTCAGAGACCGTGGAGAAGCAGCACATCAAGAGCTTTGTGATGGCAGTGCGTGTGGACGGGAGAACATTTGAAGGCTCAGGACGTAGCAAGAAGCTGGCGAAAGGCCAAGCAGCGCAAGCTGCTCTGCAGGCCCTCTTTAACATTCGTCTGCCCAGCCACATTCCCAGCAGGAGTAAATGTAACCATTTGCCACAGGTGAGAGCTCTCAGGTAGCCACCGCCGAGCTGGAGGAATTGTGTAGATTAATGTGCTCTGTGTCGTTATAACTGTTACTGTTCTGTAAGATGGCTCCTCTGAAATTATAGTAAGTACTGTGCTGCAATTAAGCTCTTTTCTCCTAGAAACAGCCGCAGGCAAAAGCTTAAAAAAATTGTATCTTAAAACCATTAGGTACAATTTGCAAGTCTTTTCATAAGTGACATAGACGAGAATGCAGAATATAGGGGAAATGTCAACATTTCAGTTTCCTAGAGAGTGATAGCATTGATACAGGTGGAAAAAGCAGGTTGTTCTGTAATGTTGCCTTTTTCTTGATAGAAGTAATCCATAAACAAAATATAACAGGATGCCCCATATCCTCCTTTTAGAGGTAATTTTTGTTGAGGACAGTGCTGTTCAGAGGAGACAGCAATGACAAGGAACATGCCTTAGTCAGAGCTAGTCTCCTTACAATTTAGCTGCCAGAAAAGTTAAAGGATATTTATTATAGGTCTATTTTTTGATTTTTTTTTTCAAATACGTCTCCAATACTAAAAGAAATGGTTAAGGCCCTGGAGTCTTCCTGGAACAAATGTAGAGATTAATGATGTGTTCATATAGAAAATATAGATCTGAGGTACATACTTAGTGAATCAAAATTTCATAGTTGGCCATATGCCAAAGGCTATCTTGGCATTGCATGCTCAGATTTGTGTCAATTTTCTAGGTTCAAAGGAAGCCAGGATTTGCAGACGCTGAGAAGCATTACATAGGTTCAATTAATTTCTTGGTTTGCTTGCACTCTCCTAAAAGGTTTGATCCACCGGCACCAGGAGTTGATCCACCACTACAAAGCTCCCTTTATGAAGGGAGTTGTTAACGTCCAGGATTTAATGCAAATCACCAGGAGCTCTAAGAGTCATTCTACTGCTGGCTTGCTGTGAGACCCTAGGCAAGTCATTTAAATCCAATATCCCTGTCGAAAAAATGGGCATATTTTACGAAAGAACACTTTAAGATCCTTAAGTAGTGTGTAAATGCAAATTATTAGTAGCATTTCTCATTAACATTAGTAAAAATGCTCATTAGCAAGAGAGAGTTTGATCAGGAAATGAATCCTTTATGTGACATGACTGCCTGCAGTTTCCAGGAATTATGTTTGGTGAACCAGAAGTTCCCTTCTTATGTTTTCAAAAAGGAAATGTTAGAAATTCTAAAATATATCATAATCCTCCCCTTTTTCCCTTTAATTCATATTAGTAAATTCTACGTACCAATGAGAGAACATCTTAATTTAATAACAATGACCTTCACAGTGCTTTGCACGTGTTTTAAAAGTCTTGGCTAACCTGACAGTTCCCTCCTCACAGTACCCCTCTGAACAGTGAATGAGATTTAAGAGATTTAAGCAGTTTCCCCAATACATTTTTTTGCATAAATTAATTTTTACAAAATTAAAGTTTGTTTTGAAGAACATGCCTATCCTGCCCCATGGAAACCTAGCAACCAGATATAAAGAATTATTTCTCCTATCTTTCTTACTGCTTTGCTGACCCCAGTGAACTTTGCTAGGTGCATCAGCAGTTAAATACCATGAACTAAGAAATGTACCATTCACAGGATGATGATTTGTCCTGTTCTGAGATAGCACCACAGGTATCAATACCTTAGTTCATGATCTCTGTGAACTATTCCCTGGTTGCTTGGTTTCAAAATCATCTTCTACCTGAATATCACATCTTACCTGTATCCCAAATTGCTTACAAGGCAACAGACATATTCTTCAGGGTGTATTTTCCTTTTTATGTCCTTTTCTCCTTTCTGCAGACTTATGCCCTCCTTATCTTCATCTTCTCGCTATTCTGGAAGCATAAATGTCACTGAAAATGTGCCATTGAAATTTCTCTGCCAGAATGTGTATTTAAGTGGTTGTGTATTGTTAAACTAAAAAATTAGTCAGATACTTTTAATGCCAGAATTCAGCATATTAATTGTGACATAAGCCCTAACACTGATTTTTGCTTGCTTTCTTACTAGTAACCACTTTTACCAATAGATACAGGAGACATGACACAAAATCAAGGTTCATGTTACTCACTTCAGTCATAATCTAAATTCCAATGAAAACAACAGACATATTTCCCTGGACTTCAGCAGGGCTATAGATTGAGCATTAAAAGCAGAAACTTGTTCTTGATGTATTTTGCAGTATCTCATCAAGTGACTTTCTTTGCCCAGTACTTCAGCCCATCTCACGGCTTTGTCAACTTTTAGTGGTAACTGTATTGATGAGAATGTTGCTGTCATTGAACTATGATCAGAGCAAGCTGCACCAAAGTCTTTCTTGTCTCCCTGAACCTCTGTGAGCCAAGCTTTTAAGGACACATTTCAAGCCACGTTTTCAAAGATGCACCTGCTTCAGTTTCAGTAGGCCTTCAGTAGGCATAATTTGGTTTTCAAGTCTGTTTAGGTGTAAGAGAGTGCTCCAAAACTCAAATGGCTTAGGTACAGATTTTGAAATTTCTTCACAAAATAAGAAGTAACTATTGTCCTGTCCAAACACCTACTCTTTTTCCATGCTCCATCTTATTTGTTAGAATATCAGATAATGAAATCAATGATAGTAGGAAAAGTAAAACAGACCAAGTATAATAAGTTTCATCTGTATTTTCAATATTTTATAGAGTTCATGAGTACATTTTGTTGTCTCTTACACAGCATTCCACCTTTGCATGTTCACATATTCCTGATATTCTTACTCTTATCACTATGGTAACATACTCTTATCAGGCTTTAGCAGGCCTATGTTTGGCCTTGCTACAAGTAGGAAAGACCAGACATCTCATAACACTGGTAGTCCAGTTCTGCTGAACTTACGAATTTCCCAGCGTCTGAACAAGTGTCAAAAGAGTTCAGATGTCCTTAAGAACTGAACCTCCAGCCTCTGACATTTGTGCCTTGCTCATCAAACTGCCCAGTGGATACCTGCCATTTCTCAGCCTGGCCCTTGAGCATGCCCCCTGCCTAACAGGCACCTTTTTGCTGATCAAGGGAGTTTCAGTATAAAATGTCAAAAAAACACCATATCCTCCAGTCTGTCATGATAGGTACTGCCTATGGGGTTCAGGCTTCCTGAACCACCGAAAAATTGAGAGAGAGCATGGATATAAAATTCTGCCACCCTGATCCCTTCTGTTTCAAGCAAAACAAGAAAATGCAAGAACAGCAAAGCAAGAATAGCTGAATTCCCTGAGGCCATTGCAGCCCAACTTGCTTCTTCAGCTGCCACTCCTGCCCTTCACCTGCCAATGCTGAAATTCCACTGTGAAACATTTACAGAATTGTACATCACTGAGGCTTTCTAGAAAGAAAATCACGGTGCCTCTGATTTCTTCTCTGTATTTGTTCCACAGTGTTGGCTGACTGCAAAATTATATTCCAAAATTAACAAAAACAAATAACACTTTATAACAGGAATATTTTTTCGTCTCATAATTTAAACACATAATTTAGAAACAACATAATTCAGATTATGGCATCTTTACAGCTCTTAACAGTGCTTTGATTCGCTTCTGTGGTTCTTACATATGTACAATGATGGCTGCGAGACTTGAGCTATTGAATGCGTGGGTGAATAGGAGATAGCTGAGATAGCCCAAGGGCCAGCTGTAATGGTCACAAGATTTGCCCATCAATCTATCAGCTCCTGCCCTTCTTCAAGCTAGCGCTATTATCCGTGCTATGCCACTGAACTGGGGTGGCCATGCCATGCTTAGGAGCATATTGAAGAAAGGAAGCTGGATATCTGCTAACCTAATGAAAAACAGCAGAGATAAAGTGAGTCAAGAGAATGGAAATCATAACACATCGCTGTGTGCCTTCTCTTGTCACTGAATATTACCACTTGTTTCCTGGCATACTTAGTATAAACTCATAATGTCCATGAAGTAATATGCAATTTCTTTGACTATCAATCTTCATGGCAGTCTGACAATTGTTTTCCTTGCCTTGGAAGCTAATGTTCTTGTAATCCAAATAGGAGACAACAGTGAGAAGTGCTGACCCAGCCAGCTTTGATGAGTCTGCACTGGTAGAAATCTGTTTGTACATTCACAGACTTTCAGAGTGCAATGTGATTGTTTCAGGAAATCAAGGTGACCCCCAACTGCATCTGACCAGTTTACAGATTGTTTTTCTAATCTTGTACTCCTTCTAATCTATCTCACTCAGTCTAAACAACATTCTTACTGCTGTAGAGCAAAATCATTAATTAATATTGCCATAACAAATTAGTAATAGAGGGGTGCTTGGATTTCAAATGGACCTAAATTAAAAACGAGTAAGTGTGAAAATTGCGTTCCCTCTGCTTTGAAATTGTTTAACACTGCTGTTGCTGCTTCACATCCAGAGCAGTACCCAGTTTGTTTACTTAAACATAAGCTCACTGAGTACTGTGTGTGCATCATCAGAAAGAATCAGGGCTTTTCCTTCTTCAAATAAGGCTAACCATCTGAATCCAGTTAAATCCCATGTTTGCAACCAACCTCATTTACAGACCAAAGCAATCCGGGTTTGCCCATTACCCTGATTCTTCACAGGGTCAAGGATCCCTACCAGCAGACTTCAGTATCACCTCAGAGAGCAATGTCAAGTGAAGAATAATCACTGTGGTGTATGAAAAAGCCGACCCTATGATCCACTTCCCAAGAAAAGCCTGTTTCTTTGTGTTTTGGAAAACAGACTTCATTTTCATGCAATATTAATTGTTCCTGCCCTGTTCACTTTATTTCTGCATCCGTATTTGCCGACTTTCTTGTGATCATGCCCTCTCTGCTGTGTTGCAGCTAAGCTGGGGTGGAGGTTGTCAGTGATAGATTTGACTTGGTGCTGAGAGGGAAGCCCATAGCTGGCACCGAGGTTTGAGAAGCCATTCCAATGCGTTCATGTGAACAGCTTGGTCTAGTCAAGTGACCAGATACAATTTTTATAACTTCGTC